TTAACACTAAGTCAAACAGTTAAATTTCCATAAATTTCAAAGATCACATTCTCTGACTACAATGCAAGAAAGAAATCAAATAAAAATATAACAAGCAAAATTTCATATATTTGAAAATTTAAAATACTCCAAATACTGTAAAATTCAGTATTACACATTGTGAACAAATCTCAAACAATGCTAACTGAAATAATTAAGTCACAGAACTAAAGAATAGATTCACTTATATAAACTAGAGAACACACTGACTGGTGACAACAGTATAACAAAATACATGAGAATGATCAATACACAATTCACTCCTGTGTTTATCTCTGAGTGGTGAGGGAGTTGTGAGTAGGGTGAAGAGAAGATACACTACTGGTGCTTCATTTCTTAAGCTAGAGCTAAAGATCTTGGTGATCATTTTTATTTTTAAACTACATACAAGCTCCATACCCGTTTAGATAATAGAATTGCAATAAATTACAGAGCCGGGCTCGGTGGCTCAGCCTGTAATCCCGCGCCTTTGGGAGGCTGAGGTGGGTGGACTGCCTGAGCCTGCGGGTTCGAGACCCGCCTGGGCAGGAGAGACCTCATCTCTACAATAAATCAAAAAATTAGCTGGGCGTGGTAGCGCGCGCCTGTAATTCCGGCTACTCAGAAGGCTGAGGCGGAAGGATCGCCGGAGTCCAGCAGTCGAGGCTGCAGTGGCCGGGAGCGGCCACTGCACTCCAGTCTGGGTGACAGAGTGAGACTCCAACTAAAAAAAAAAATAAAAAATATAAATAAATAAATAAATTACAGAAAAAGAGAAACATAGGAAGGGAAAGAAGAATTAGACATAATTGTCAAAGTGGACCTAAAAAATGACAAAGGTGAACAAGGTGCCACCCATATTCACACTTGCTTCCTAGGCCATACAAAGGGTGAGATGGTATCAAGAAACGGAGGTGAGATGCTGCTTTACCTGCATGTCACTTTTGGCAGCTTTCACAGCATCAAAGAGATCATTGGCTGGTGGCTCTGACTCTTTCCGGCCATGACTACGTACCATTTGGGACCCCTTTTTTGGATGTTTTGCCACCTAGTAAGTATAAAAAGATTAAGAATACAGAAAAAAAGTAAAAGTGACATTAACAGTCTCACCACTATCACACAGCTGCCAATTCCACAGCAGAGTCTTAGTTACTGACTCAGACCTTGAAATAACCAATTTTTGAGTTGTGAATTTTACTATCCCTAACGTTTCTCCTTCTAAAAAGTCCTTGAGTCTCATTCCTGGTATCTCTATATTCTCGTGCCCTCTTCTCTTAAATATTTTCTCTTCAAAATTTGTCTACTTCCTACTCTGATCCCTTAATACTGTGTAAGTCTTGTCTTTTCATTAACCATATCACTTGAGCCTCTTCTAGGTCTTTTTTTTTTTTTTTTTTTTTTTTTTTTTGCCATTTCCCAGACCAGATTCAAAAACAAAACAAAACTGAACTTACCGGAGTTGTCTTCACTGGTCGTTTTGCTGCTCTCTTCCTCACATTGCGTCTCAAAGTATCTTCAAAGTCACTACCTTCCTCAGTTGACAAAGAGTCACTATTCCTGTGAGGGGGTATGGTTCTTCTGAAATACAATCACCTCATTCCCTCTATATCTTAGACCAATGATTAACAATTTCTCTGCCTCTAATTGCACCCCATTGCCGGAAGAAAAACATATTCAGATTTTAAGAGATGTGCTTACTGTTAGTAGAAAGTAGGGACAAAGCCTTTAAGGAAAACTTTCACATGAAAATAATGGAGATGAAGAATGAGGAACTGAGGTGGGAGAAGGACACCCTTCCTAATAATCTCTCCAAATAAGAGAATCAAATGATATTCCACTAAGTAGGCACAGAGATCACTACTCGGTAATAGGTACCTGGAATTAAATCTCACCCCTTGAAACATAACCACATGTCTTATTGATTAAAGTAATGTTTATTTTCATTTATTTATTGATTTTTTTTTTTAGTCAGAGTCTCAGGCTCAAGTACAGTGTCATGCTCACGACCACTGCAGCATTGATCTGTTGGGCTAAGGCAATCCTTCTGCCTCAGCTGGAACTACAGGTACGTGCCACCACACCTCACTAATTGTTTTGATTTATTGTAAACCAGGTCTTGACAAGTTGCCCAAGCTAGCCTTGAACCCCTGGACTCAGGCAATCCTGTCACCTCCACCTCCCAAAGTGCTGGTATTACAGGCGCCAGCCACTATGCCTGGCTTTAGAGTGTAATTTATAACATGGATATAATCTGGTTCCCAACAGCAACACTGACAGAAACAAATGATTCTGAGAAGACTCATTAAAAACAACCAGGGGATAACGCATATCTAGTATGAGACTAGGGTTTTTTCCCCTCCTGGGGAGATTAAAAAAAAAAAAAAAAAGAAACAAGTTATACAATTACAAACTTCCCAGAATAAACTAATATATTATAACAAATAAGGACAGACAGACCTCTTGACAAAACTCCCAAATAAGAGAACTACAGGACACCAATTAAAAAGTTAGGCCAGGTGCGGTGGCTCACGCCTGTAATCCCAACACTTGAGGAAGCCAAGGTGAGAGAACTGCCTGAGCCCGGGGGTTTGGGACCAGCCAGGACAGCTTGGTGAGACCTCATCTCTACAGTAAATTAAAAATTTAAGCCGGGCTCGGTGGCTCAGCCTGTAATCCCACGCCTTTGGGAGGCTGAGGTGAGTGGATTGCCTGAGCCCGTGGGTTCGAGACCCGCCTGGGCAGCGAGACCTCATCTCTACAATAAATCAAAAAATCAGCCGGGCGTGGTAGTGTGCGCCTGTAATTCCGGCTACTCGGAAGGCTGAGGCAGAAGGATCGCCGGAGCCCAGCGGGTTGAGGCTGCGGTGGCTGGGAGTGGCCACTGCACTCCAGTCTGGGCGACCGAGTGAGACTCCAACTCAAAATAAAAAAATTTAGCTGGGTGTGGTGGCATGCAGTTTCAGGTACTTGGAAAGCTGAGGTGGAAGGATCACCTAAGCCCAGCAGGTTGAGGTGGTGGTGGCTGTGAGTGTGCCACTGCACTCCAGCCTGGGCGACAGTGAGACTCCAATTAAAAAAAAAAAAAGTTTATACAATTTGTCAGGCAGCAAAGAACAAACACACGACTCTTGACTTCCCATCTCCCACCTTCCAGCCCCCACCAGAGGTTGCACGTGCTGAACACAGAAAAGTGTTCAAGAAAGGTTTAGATAAGATGGGTGATCGATTCAAAACAGGATGCTCTATTCTTGATGTCTACGATGTTCAGAGATACAACAACAACAAAAACCTGGAGGCTGGGCATATGGCTCACGCCTGCGCTTTTGGAAGGCCAAGGTGAGAGGACTGCCTGAGCCCAGGAGTTCCAGACCACCCTGGGCAACCTCTACAAAAGTCAAGGCCGGGCGCGGTGGCTCAAGCCTGTAATCCCGGCACTCCGGGAGGCCGAGCTGAGCGGACTGCCTGCGCCCACTGGTTCGAGGACAGTCTGGGCAGCTTGGCAAGACCTCGTCTCTACGACGAATCAAAAAAATTAGCCGGGCGTGATAGCGCGCGCCGGTGGTTCCGCCTCCTTGAGGGCTGATGTGGAAGGATCGCCGGGGCCCAGCAGGGCGAGGCTGCGGTGGCCGGGAGCGTGGCGCGCCACCGCACCCTCGGCACCCGGGTGAGACCCCGACTCCAAAAAACCAAGAAGGTGGCTGGACGAGGGGATGCACACCCGTAGTCCCAGCTACTCGGGAAGCTGAGGAGGAAGGATCACCTGAGCCCAGCGGGCTGAGAACGCAACGGCCAGGAGCACGCCCCTGCACTCCAGCCTGGGCAAGTGAGACTCCGGCGCAGAAACGAAACCGGAGCAGGGGCCGGACCAACTCCGGCGTTTTCACACAGCCCCAGGCCCACGACCAACGGCGTGAGAGAACGCGAGCGGG